GTTGAATTCTTGGACATTCCCGAGCCCGCGCTCGCCAGGTTCGTTCCTGTCTGACATTGTTTTTGCCGCACGTGTCGTTGGTCGTGTCGTTGCCACTGACCACGTGTGGTAACAACACAGAGAGTTCACGGTGGTCGAGTTTCAGTTGTTCAGGGACGTGGACCTCCGCAGTTTACTCACCGTAAAGAACCAGGACGGCGACTCACTGTTCGAGCCGCTCATCGCACAGTACAACATGGTACGCACTATTAGCCCCTGGTATACGCCCATAGACGTAAGCTCGAGACTCACCGAAACCCCAATTTTATCCAATTTTCAGGTGGCACACTGGGTGGCCCGGGAGATCCTGATGGCCAGAAAGGCCGAGTTGCAGGTGCAGGTGCTAGAGAAGTTCATTCGCCTGGCGAATCAGTGCCTGCTTCTCAATAACTTCAACACATTCATGGAGATCGTCTCGGGTATCACCCTGCACATGCATACCGCCACCTCACGCACCACACACACACACACACACGCACAACACACCTAACACACGTTAACGTTGATGCTGAAACGTACTCGTTTCACACAGGTCTCAATCACAACTCGCTGCAGCGGCTGAAGGGCCTGTGGGCTCGGGTGTCGGACAAGGCGAAGGAGCAGTGGCGCGAGATCGACACGCTTATGAGCCCACAGCACAACTTCAGGCACTACCGGCGTGAACTCAAGAAGCGGAAGACGCCCGTGTTGCCCTACTTTGGCATCTATCTGCGCGACTTCACCTTCATCAACGACGGCAACCAGAAGTACCTGCCAGACGGTATTTTTCTCCACCACCGAAACGCACGCACGCACGCACGCACGCACGCAACACAGAGCTGACTGGGTCCTTGGGCGCAGGCGCAATCAACGGCAAGTATGTAAATTTGCTCTATGAGCGCGTGAGCGAGGTGAAAACCTTCCAGAGCGTGTCCTACACACTGGATTCGACCGGGCAGCCGGACGCCAAACAGTACATCTCGTCACTCGCCATGGAGATCATGTATGACGAGGTAGGTGCCACCGCTTCAGATTTTTTTCAACTTTCTTCTTCGATTTATATCTCCACCACGCGCGTCGTGTGTCATGTGTCGTGTGTCGTGTGTGCAGGATGAGTTGTACGCCCTGTCGCTGCAATCGCAGCCCAGCCTGTGGGTGGAGCCGGCGAGCGAAGACACCACCTCGCAGGAAACCAGCACCGAGTCGAGCCAGGTCAAATCGCGCAAGGGAAGCGGCTCGGAAATGGGCCACGGGACTCTAAGGGCACGCCGTAACAATCGCAGGTACAGCTCCCACCACTCACCATTTACTTCCACATCGCTAATGCCCTGTCGACACATCGCAGTGCGTCCGATGTCGACACAGCGGACACACTGTCGCACTCGGGGTCGCAGGTGGGCCGGCCCAGAGCGGCCACGACCACGA